TATTTGCTAAAAGTTGCTTAGTAGCATAATATATGGTCTATTTTAGAGAAGGATCCATGTGCTGCTGAGAAGAAAGTGTATTCGCTCATTGAAGGATGAAATATTCTACATATGTCAGTTAAGTCTAAGTTATTAATTGTATTATTGTTCTGTAGTTTTTTTGTTTAGCTTTTGTTTGGAAGATCTATCCAGCGGTGAAAGAGGTGTGTTAAAGTCACCCAAAATTATTGTGTTTTGGTCTATTTGACTCTTAAACTTAGAAGAGTTTGATTGATGAACATAGATGCTCCATTGTTTGGGGAATATATTATTTATAACTGTTATGTCTTGTTCGTGTATGGTTCCCTTAAGCAGTTCGAAATATCCATCTTTATCCCTTTTGATTAACTTTGGCTTGAAGTCTACTTTATTTGATCTGAGGATGGAAACCCCTGCTTATTTACGCAGAATATGTGAATGGTATATTTTATCCCAGCCTTTCACCTTCAGTCTGTGGATGTCTTTTCCTATGAGATGAGTCTCTTGAAGGCAGCATATTGGCATATTGTTGTTGTTTTTTTTTAAATCCAATCTACCAGCCTATGTCTTTTGATTGGTGAGTTTAGGCCATTAACATTCAGGGTTATTATTGAGACATGATTTGTATTTCTGGTCATTTTTGTTTATTTTTGATATTTAACTTGACTTGTTTTCTCCTTTGGTTAGCTTTTCCTTTATTGTTGTTCTTCCCTTTGCGGATTTTCATTGTTGTTTTTCATTTCCTCCTTGAATATTTTGTTAGAATGTTCTGTAGTATAGGCTTTCTTGCTATAAAGTTGTTTTAGCTTTTGTTTATCACGTAAGGTTTTTATTTCATCATCAACTCTGAAGCTTAATTTTGCTGGATATAAGATTCTTGGTTGGCATTCATTATCTTTTAGAGCTTGGTATATGTTGTTCCATGATCTCCTGGCTTTGAGGGTGTGGGTTGAAAAATCTGCTGAGATAGGAATTGGTCTTCCCTTATACATAATCTGATTTTTCTCTCTTATGGGCTTTAAAATTCTATCCTCATTCTGTATGCTAGGCATTTTCATTATAATGTGCCTTGGCGTAGATCTGTTGTAATTTTGTACATTTGGTGTCCTATAGGCCTCTTGTATTTGATTTTCCAATTCATTCTTCAGGCTTGGGAAATTTTCTGATATTATTTCATTGAAGAGATTGTGCATTCCTTTGGTTTGAATCTTTGAACCTTCCTCTATCCCAATAAATCTTAAATTTGGTCTTTTGATGGTATCCCATAATTCTTGGATATTCTCTTCATGGTTTCTTATTATCTTCACTGTGAGGTCAACTTTATTTTCAAAATTGTATATTTTGTCTTCATTATCTGATGTCCAATCTTCCAAGTGATCTACTCTGTTGATGATGCTTTCTATTGAGTTTTTTTTTTTTTAATTTGGCTTATTGTTTCTTTCATTTCAAGTGTTTCTGTTTGTTTGTTTTTTTCGGAATCTCTCTTTCCTGAAGTAATCACTTGCAACCTGTATTTGCTTTCTTAACTCTTTGTTGGTGTGATTGATGGTTGCCTGATTTGTTCTCTTATCTCTTTGTTGGAGTGATTGATTTTTGCCTGTATCTGCTTACTTAGGTCATTCTTTATTTCCCAGATCATTTTAGTTATGTATATTCTGAACTCTTTCTCTGACATTTTACCTACTGCACTATCAATGGATTCTATTGTTATAGTATCTTGGATTGTTTGGGGCACTTTCCTCCCTTGTTTTGTCATGATGTCTGTGTGTCTTCCTCTCTTGCAGTGTAGATCCGAGGTATTTCAGCCTCTGCCCTATTGTCTTACAGTGTGTCTACAGGTTACCAATATCTCACCTTTAAGAGGGAGATCAGTATTACAGCACTCAATGTACCCAACGTGCAGCCATAAATCAGTTAGCTTCTATTTTTACATTTACAGGTTTGTCACTATAATCAGAAATGATGAGTTTGGTTATCTACTACCTTATAGTCTATAGGTTTGCGTAATGGTTTACAGTTTCTAATGGTAGAAGGGGATCTAGGGGGTTGGCTGAGATGTTTATGAGGTAAGATGTGAGAATATGGAAGTATTAGATTATGTGACTAGTGAGAAGGTAATCATAAGAAGTTGGCTGTTAGTAGGAGAAACAAGAGAGAGGCATCCCCATGCAAGACTCCCTGTTACCTCATCAACAGGATAATTGTTAACACCGGTAGTAGAGATAACTTCTGGTGCAGGCAGGCCCACAAGGACCTTGGTGATGTCTTACCAGGTCTTTATTGTCCCTTGTTAGAAGCAGTGATATCCCAATTTCATGGCGGCAGCAGCCTCAAGCCTATATGTACCCTTATGTTGGGCTGTGGAGTCACACTTTGGTGAATAAGGAACCCCAGCGTGTGGTATAGGCACGGGGCGGGCCTATCTTGCCACGGGGCAATGAAAATTGGGTTTTATTTCTCTTAGAATCTTACCATTTTTAATTATGTGAAAATATATTATAAACATTTATAGGATTTCCTTGATAGAATTTAGGAACACAGAAAAAAAAAAAACAGGTAAATTTATCTTAAAATAGGCTCATTGTGTTTGATGTTGTCTCAAAAATATATTGATAATTAAAGTATTTTGATTTCTGTCCAAGTGGATGCTGTAATTAAATCTATAATTAATCTTTCCTTTATGCTATACTTGATTATACTTTGCTTAGCAGAGCAAAATTTTGTTTTTTAAAGATTTAATTCAATTCTCTTTACTATTTTAAGTATTAAAAAATTACATTAATGAAAATCCCAGTAATTTAAAATGGATTAATAAGGAAGCATACCCCCAAATGAAATAATGTACTTCTAAAAATATTTATTTGAGGACTGGAGGTTATGGCTCAGAGGTAGAGCACTTGCTTAGCATGCATGAGGCACTGGGTTCTGTTCTCAGCACCACATAAAAATAAAATATATTGTGTCACCTATAACTAAAAAAAAATATTTTAAAAATATACATTTATTTGAATGGCAGTCATTTAGAACACAAATATTAGTAAATCCTGACAAGGATATGTGGAAAAGGAGCTTTATACACCGTTGGTGTGATTGTAAACTACTATAATTGCTATGGAAATCAGTATAGAGGTTTCTCTGAAGAGTAGGAATGGAGCCACTAGGTGACCCAGCTATCCCACTCCTTTGTATTTATCCTAAAGAATTAAAGTCGGCATACTATAGTAATACATGCATACCCATGTTTAGATCAGCATGATTCATAATAGCCAAACTTGGAACCAGCCTTGTGTCCATCAGATGAATAGATAAAAAAAATTGTGGTGTGTATACATAGTGCAGTTTTACTAAGCCAAAAAGAAGAATGAAATTTGCAGGAAAATTGAAGAACATCATCCAAAATGAAATTAGCCAATCTCAGAAAATCATAGAGTTATATGTTTTCTCTCGTATGTGGAATCTAGGGAGAAAAAGCAGGAGAAAGATCTCATGAAAATAGAAGGGATACCAGTAGAGTGGAAGATGGGAATTAGGGCAAGAGAGGAAAAGAGGGAAAGGGATCATATTATGCTATGTGTAGGTATGAATGTGTCACAACGAAGCGTACTGTTATATGTAATTATAATTCACCAATATAGAATGAAAAATAAAACATTTGGAGCAAAAATAAAATGCTTGGTTACTTATGACATTGAGATAGTTAATATCTGTTATTTTGTCAACATGGGCTTTTATTTAAAGCACCTTGGGCTTTTATTTAAAGGCAAAGAATGTTGAACAGCAAAGCATTTTCCTAAAATGATTAACCTTATTAGATATTATTAGGGTCATTCTTTGGTGGACAGCATGTCGTAGAGGACTCTGTTTAAATACCAATTTCATTATTTATTATGAATTCTTAGGCATATTGGAAAAGCAGCCCAAACGTCTATAAACCTCACTCTCCTCAACTTCAATAATACACAATTTGCAATTCTTGTGTCTTAAGTGAGATGATTATAAAGTATTTACAACAATTCCTGGTACCTACTAACTAGCTGGGTTATTATTACCTATTTATAAATTTGTATTTTCTATTATATTATGCTAACATAGAAAGTAGTTATAAATACTGTTTAAGATTCAAAGGTTAATAAATTAGAATATATTTATGAATTTTGCATTTAGTACTTTCTATAAGTTCAATAGCAGTAATGATTTATATTTAAATATATTCGTGAAATGTAATAAGGAAACAAATGACAGTTTACACTCTAGTTTTCTTCCTAAAAGTTTATGTTCTTTTAATAATCAAAGAGTTTTGTATGTACATTTAGTACTAATTAGTATAATATTTAAAATGTTTCTGTTTTAAAAAGTCATATTATTGTTCTAAAATTGTTTCTATTGGGAATCAAGAAAATATTGAAACTTACTTGATTCTGTTAGAGTACTCTGTTTTTTCCTTTGCAACTATTATCTCTGAAGAAAGTAAATATTATCAAGGGCAAATGTTTTAATTTTTATTGTGATGTTCAAGGAATGATAAAGATTTCATGAAAATAGAAGGGACACTAGTTCATTGAGTTCATTTTCATAGAAAGGCCAGTCAGCAGTGTTTTTTTTAATTATAGATTCAAGAAATTATAGACATAACCATAGTCTACTTTGTGTACTGAAACTCCTTAATTTATAAAAATGATCAAGTTCTTTCTCATGAAATACATTGAATTATTTGTACATTAAATATATTTTATCCAAATAAAATGTTAATGACTCACACTTTGTACCTCTCCCTAATCAACTGTACTTTTTCTTCTTTACATTTTCACATGCATTTTGTTAGTGATAAAGGAATCTTTATCACTAACAAAATTTACCCCTCAGATCCATTTTTTTAGGCACATGAGTTTGTAATGGTTTCCCCAAACTTAGATTTCTTCCCTAATTTTTTTATTCTTTATTGTCTATGATAACAGAGTTCATTTGTTTACTTTGTTTTTTAGGCAAACGAAGTTAGATCTGAGGGTTGCAGTAGCAAAAGTAGAAGAGTTAACTAAAGTGACTGAAGATCTTCAGGAACAAATGCAAAAGAAGGTGTTTTCTATTTCTTAAAATATTTTTTGGTATAATAGACTGACTCTTGTTATGTTTTAGAGAAATTTCAGCTTATCAAGGAAAGATAGGTGTTGTGGTTTAGACATGAGGTGTCCCCCCAGAAGCTAATATGTGAGACAATGCAAGAACATTTAGAGGTAAAATTATTGGATTATAAGCACCTTAACTCAATCAGTGCATTAATCCAGTTGAATCAAGTAAATGGGTGATACCTGTAAACTGGTAGGGTGTGGCAGGAGGAGGTAGGTCGCTGGGGCCTGTCTCCTGGTGAGAGAAAGCTCATTCTGCTTTCTGGTGGCCATGTCCTGGGCTGCTTTCCTCCTGCTCACTCTTCTGCCAGGATGCTCTGCTGCACCTTGGGCCTGGAGCAATGGAGCTGACTGTCTATGAACCGAGACTTCTAAAACCGTGAGCCCTAAATAAACTGTTACTCCTCTAAAATTGCTGTTGTCAAGTCTTTTGTTCATAACAGTGAAAAAGCTGACTAAAACAATTGGGTTAGATTTAGATAGACTTAATTATTAAAAATTCTACCTCTAACACTTTTTAGCTATATAACTTTCTAAGCCTTAGTCCCTGATCTCTAAAAAACTAATTTCAAATCTCCAATAATGTTAGATTTATGAAGGGGTTACAAGAACTTTCCCATGAATATCCATTATAAAAACTGAGTCAGGCAAAATGGCACACATCTGGAGTCCCAACTACTTGTGAGAGTAAGGCAAGAGGATTGCAAATTTGAGGCCAGCCTTGGCAACTCTGAGACCCTGTCTTAGATAAGGTACAAAGGGCTGGGGATGTAGCTCAGTGCTAGAGCACTTGCCTAGTACTGGGTAGGGGAGGGGAAGGAATGGATAATTTTTTAAGAACACTAGAAACTATCCCAATACAAAAAAGAGTAAAAGAAGTAAGAATTGTTAAAACATTTTAAGGTCTTCTGAAGGCCTTTAAATTGCTTTCATGTATTCAAGACCAAAGTTTAGAACTAGAAAAGCTATTGGAAATTTAGAAAATATTGGTAGTAAGAGTCACAAAAAAAAATAGGACCCTGCTTCCGAGTTTATATTCTTTCCAGATTTATACATAACATTCCAAATCATGCATATGGGTAGAGGGGAGGGACCCCAGGAAGCAATTCCAGTGAAGAAGCAGGCAGAGGTCCTAGAGAAACCTGCTCTGGAAAGACAGAAATACATGAAAATAGGTATTTGAGTTTGCTACCTTTTATAATTGAGTACATTCTAATTATGTGTACACCTGAGCAACAGAAAGCTGAAGCTTTATTCTTTGAAATATCAAAGGGAAGACCCCAAAGCTAGAAGTCACAGGGGAATCTCTGCAGCGAGGAAATCACACAGAGAGTGAACCCTCTCTGCCCACATCTGGCCAGATGCTCAGCTCATGCACAGGGTACTCCCACAAACTCAGCTCTAGAGATAACCGTAGGCAACAGCAAGGACTAACCACAGACAGACATCAGATGCTCCATACTAGGAAAAAGACTTCAGCACTCAAGTCCAAGTAAGGTGATTGTCTCCCTGGGCAACAATAGCAAAGCTGCAATCCTCAAAAGAACAATGCAGAATACAGAGTAGCTCAAGTATATCATCTACCATGTCCAGTTTTCAACCAAAAATTACCAGACAGAATTGTGGGATGTATACTCGAGGGACAGGAGTTTGGAGAATGGAAGTGGGACTATCAGTAGAGTCTCTCAGTGGATGCTGCTGTTGAGTTTTGTAGGCAAACTTCAAATCAAGAATTATAAATATGTTCAGGGAATTTTTTGAAACATCTGTTTTTAAATTAGAGTAAATTAAGTTCTCAGAGAAAGGAGAGATAGAGAAATTTGATTGAGAACTAGAAAATAATTTTTAGTACAGCAATTCTAGAGCTTAAAGTATAGCAAATGAAACATAATTCATTTGATGGACCCAAAAACAGACTGGAAAGGAGAATGATTTATGAAGTCAAAATCAGAACAATAGAATTTTTCTAATAAAAAAAATGTTTAAAATACTGAAGTAATCAATGGAACAATATGAGCCGGTAAGTATAATTGAAACTGCACAAAGGAGAAGAAGAACAGAAAAACAGAGAAATAATGACCGAAACTTCCTCAGTTTGGTGGGAAACTAACAGATCCAAGAATTTCCGTGAGCCAAACACAAAGCAAATCCCTCCTGGACACACCATGATGGCACTGACAGTTAATTTTAAAAGAATAAAAAAATTGAAAATAGCAACAGAACACTGACCTGCATGGGGAAACCACAACAAGATCAATGGCCGGGTTCTCGGGAAGAAGCCGTGGATGCAGAAAGTATTGGAATAATAGATACAAAGTGCTGAAGAGAAAAAAATGCTCGCTCAGAGTTCTGTATCCAGAGCAGCTATATTTTTAAAATGAAGACAAAATAAAAATACTTTTAAATAAACTAATACACAATGGATGTGTAACTGATGTGATTCTGCAATCTGTATATGGGGTAAAAATGGGAGCTCATAACCCACTTGAATCAAAGTGTGAAATATGATATATCAAGAACTATGTAATGTTTTGAACAGCCAACAATAAAAAATTTAAAAAAATAAATAAATAAATTAGAATGCTGAAAAATAAAATAAAATTAAATTAAATTAAAAAAAATAAACTAATACAAAATCCCCCCACACACACACACACAGAACTACATTTCAAAAAATTCTGAAGGAAGTTTTTTAGGCTGAAAGGAAATTTGCACTGATGGCAACTCATATGTAGGAAGAATTAAAAACAAGAGGAAGATGTGAAATAGGATATGTCTATTTTTTTCTTTTCTCAACATATTCAAGTATGCAGTTATAATAAATGACAACGATGACACTAAGGACTAACCTAGTACATGGAGGTATATTGTTGCAAGGTTCCAGTGTCATTTCTGAATTAATTTAATATTAACTTTACATAGGGATAAATTAAAGAAGCATATTATGACCTCTACAGCAGCACCCCCCCACAACAAAAAGTAATTCAGAAACACAGTTAAAAGCAAGAGGAATTTAAATAGCATCATACAAATATTTAACATAAAAGAAGGCAGGGAAGAATAGACAAAATTTTTTAGGAAGATGATAAAATAAAATCTATGAATATATTTCAGAGCATCATTATATCAGAGGAGAAACACCCTGAGGTTACTGTGGTAGATAATGATTTAAAAGACCATATCCTAAAGGCCAGCTGTCTGAATGAAAATACCTGTCTTGCTGTTAGATTCCCACTATAGAATCAGTTTGAAATCTTTGTAGAAATCTATGTTTGTACAAATCTATATGCAATGACTGTTTTGATTGATTGTCTAATATAGTATTGATGGTGAAGTTCTCTCCTATCTGTGTTATATATGTCATTCCTTTCCAAAGTCACATGGCTTCTTTAAACTTAGTTAGAATTATAGCAGCATAACTTCGTGCTGTGAGCTGTTTTCTTCAGGCTCTAAAGTGGTGTATTAAGTTTTCATGTACTTGAAATAAGCTTCCAGTCTCTCTATTTTCTAGGAGGAGGATATGCTGTCTGCCCAGGGAAGAGAAGATGCATCAGATAAACGCCTACATCAGTTACAAACAAGTATAAAACAATTAGAAGTGCGGTGAGTTGTTAAATATGTGTGGCTTTGTCTGTATACTTCCACAGATGTGCTAAAGTAGAATTTATATTTATGGTGTTAGAATATGTATTATAAAGTGCTAAATCAAAACTATAATTGTCATTCAGTATTTTGGACATTATTTTAAAATTCACATTCAGAAAATTATTACACTTTGAACATATGTTCAAAAATCTTTTGTTTAATGAGACTATACCTTTCACACAGTGTGCTATAGTAATCATAACTTTTTTTAAAAAAATTTTTTAGTTATATATAGACACAATATTTTGTTTATTTATTTTAATGTGGGGCTGAAGATCGAACCCAGTGCCTCACATGTGTGAGGAAAGCGCTCTGCCACTGAGCTACAACCCCAGCCCATCATTATTTTTAAAGAGAACAATCGTACCAATTTTAGTTCAATACTTTTTAAAGAAGAACTGAAACTCTTTGAGTGCTGTGGCCTTTGTTTTAGTATGGCATGACAAAGTACGCCTTCATTTTCTTCTATCTTGAGGTCACTCTGCAGAATTTGAAGTGAACCTAGTTGATCTTTAAAAACCTAAAATCCTTCTTTCTTCTCATGACTGATTAAAATTTCTAAATCACAGTATCAGAGGAAACTTGATATTACCTCGACACCCCCATAGTTCCATCTTACATAGTCAAAGTAAGCCATGGAAATAGAAGACATGCAAGCAGAAGGCCTGGCGATGTGTGAGGCTTGCCTTCAGTTACCAGTGTTGCAAAAAAAAAAAAAGGAGAATGTTATTTTTAAACTATATTTTAGTAATCAGGGCCATAAACACTGCAAGAATGATTAGCTCAAGGAGTTGAATATTGTGGATTTTTTAAAATTATTTACTCTATTGTATTTTTTGAGATACTGGGATTTGAACTGAGGGGCACTCTACAGCTGAGCTACATCCCAGTCCTTTTGTTTTGTTTTGAGACAGTCATGCTACATCAACCTAAATTGATGTTTGAGATTTCACTTTTATTTACTAAAGAATACATCCAAATTTACACATTTTTACGTAATCAGAATGCAAATTACTTTTTTTTCCTTCTTTCTTCAGCAAATCCTCATTACCCAGATTGAAGACATTTCAGAAACTAGGTTACCAACTAGGTGTGTGTGTATGTGTGTGTGCGTGTGTATGTGCGTGCACACGTGTGGTTTATGTTTAAGAGATTGAGAGTAAGTAATGTGAAATGATTGAAAAATATAATTTAGTTAAAATTTTCTTTCCTTTTGAGGTTTGTTTGGGTAGTATAGGGACTCTTCAGTACTGTGAAAGACTAAATGTACCAGACAAGCATAGGAGATGATTTTATTCAGATTGTTGCAGAAGGGAGAACATTCATTCATGAGGATTGTTTCAAAAAAAAAGGGAGGGGCTGGAAGTTTCATACAGGCAGGTAAACAAGGATGAGGTGCTTGAGTCTTTGGGGAGTCAAGAGAAGGGAGAAGTGGGTCTGTTCTTGGAATACTAAGTACAAGGTTATCCTTTTTATTCATCCCTTTGCTGGAACACCAAAGGATAGAAGATTTTAGAGAACAGGGGAGCATAGGGCTCAAGTGTAGTCCAATGTTGTCAGTACAAAGGAAGAACAAAAGCCGGGTACATTGGGTGTAGCATGCCACAGCATCTGCTCTCAAGGTCTGAAGCAGATATTTGGGTGGACCACTGCTACAGGTTAGAAAGCAAAGATAACAAAAGTGACTCAACCAATAGGCAGACTATTCTCATTCACATAGGAAAAGCTCTTCATGTGAACATTGTGATGATAAAGTAAATATAGATATATATATAGAGAGATAGATATATATACACACACACATTTTTTTAATGTGTGTGTGTGTATATATATCTATATCTATAGCATTTAAATGTAAGAGAAATAAATCCCCCAGAGTATAAACAAGCAAAGACAGGGAGCTAAATCAGAGTAGTAAATAAAGAAGGAAGCCAGGCCTGGAGCTGTATAAAGTGGCAGGGGCCTCAACCTAGGGGAGCCTGCTTGAAATGGACCCCTTCAAGAACTACAGCCTCATTGAAAGGTAGATAGGAAAAGTATTTGCCTCTTAACAAAGACAGATGACATGAGACTGTTTACCATATTGTCAGGTAGAAAAAACAAAACAAGATAACCATTATAGTCTTCTCTAAACATGTGTAGACAGCCCTGGCAACAGAGGAGCCTGGGGTGTTCATTGGAAACTCAGGCCAAAAAATTTAAGTGGCGTTAAGTTGGTAGCAAATCATGGTGCATGGGAAATGCAAAAGTAAATCTCTTTGAGGGGAAACATTTTAAATTTAGGCTCCTAAAGATTCCCATAGATTAAATTCAGGCAGAAATGAGTTTATCAAAAATTACCAAATGCAAGAAAAACTAAGCCACTTGACTGGCAGGAGGAAAACAAGGTAGGATTTAGAAGCAGCTCCCACCTCACCCCCAAAAAGCTTCAAGTAATAAAGTAATAGAATATAGAATATATAGCACATGTTGAATAATTAAGGAAGCAATGAGAATTTTTTTCATGTGCAAGGAAGTTATTATTTACTACCTTTACCTTTTCCCCAAAGCAGTCATAGTCAGTTTAATCCATCACAAAATGAAAATGTTCTTTCCATTTCAAGACAGGAAAAAAATAATAATAATGAAGGGTAAAAATTGTAAAGAAAAAAAATTGTTTTTTACTAAATAGTTATACAAGATGAGAAATCATTATGCTTTCCCTGGAGTTTTCTGGAGCATTATATTTATTTATCATTGAAGGTTTGAATTGCTTTTTAAGTATATTCTATAGTTTTGTCATAACTTGCTATCTTATTACAAAAATCACTCTAGCATCTTTTGTCTTTGTTGTTTCCTAAGGCTTATTGGTTGTTCTTTTAAGAAACTTGAAAATTGTCATTAGTAATCCAATTACGATAAAATGATCACAGCCTGTGGATTCACATTATGGTTTATATCTGAAAAACTTATCCTGTACCTTTGGACTCTGTTACACAGAGAAATAGTCTACTGACCTGAGCATATCAAGAACTCATATCTTAGTTCTAGTCACAGATGCATAACTAATTTATTCTATGTCCAGAAAAAAAATGTGTATTTGAATCTCTCTTCTCCAAAATGTTAATAAAAGTAATTACTTTGCTCACAGCAGATTGAGAACAAATTGATTTTTTTATTTATATATGACAGCAGAATGCATTATAGTTTTTATTACATATATATAGGGCACAATTTTTCATATCTCTTGTTGTATACATAGTATATTCACACCAATTTGTGTCTTCATACCCGTACTTTGGATAATAATGATTATCACATTCCACCATCATTAATTACCCCATGCCCCCTTCCTTCCCCTCCAACCCCTCTTCCGTATCTAAAGTTCCTCTTTTCCTCCAATGCTCCCTCTCCCTATCCCACTATGAATCAGCCTCCTTATATCAAAGAAAACATTTGGTATTTGGTTTTTTGGGATTGGCTAAACTTCATTTAGTATTTATTATCTTCTCTAACTCCATCCATTTACCTGCAAATGCCATGATTTTATTCTCTTTTATTGCTGAGTAATATTCCATTGTGTATATATGCTACATTTTTTTTTATCCATTCATCTATTGAAGGGCATCTAAGTTGGTTTCACAGTTTAGCTATTGTGAATTGTTCTACTACATTGATGTGGCTGTGTCCCTATAGTATGCTGTTTTTAAGTCCTTTGGATATAGACCGAGCAGAGGGACAGCTGAGTCAAATGGTGGTTCCATTCCCAGTTTTCCAGGAAATCTCCATGCTGCTTTCCATGTTGACTGCACCAATTTGCAGTCCCACCAGCGGCACTTGATTATTTTATTGCTTTCCTGAACTTCTGAGTTAAACTTAGAAAACCACTGTTTGAAGATTTTTATTTCTTTTATTTTAGAAGCATTCTGTGCTAGTTTATGCTAATGACTAGAAACAGTGAAATAGTGACCAGGCAGACTGTTCACTCTGAATGAGTGAATTTCACTTGCTTTTGGTTCTGTTAGTATTGAATTATAATCATGTTTATTTATTCAACAATGCTTTAAGTTATCTTTGGGGGTTTTGTGATGTTGTTTTTGGTGTAAAACTATAATATTATAACCTAAGTGTACCCTAAGAAGAGATCACTGCGTATTAAAAGAAAGAAAAGAAAATTAAATCTTAGGGTACTTTATTGAAAGTCCAGTTTACATGTTCAGGAACCCTTTTCTGAAAAGGATATTTTTATACTGATCTTTTAGTGTTATCAAATTGTTGCTATTTCATAAAGTCAAAGACATTTTGGCATCAATAAGTATTTATTATTTGGGGTTTTAAATTATTGTTTATGATCTTTTCAAATGCCATAAATGTTCTAAAAGCATGTTATTTCCTTTCCTCTTCTAAAGATCTCTCCCTGAAAACCTCCAAGTCCCTCTAGATGACTAAGGAATCTAGGGAATGGCAGGTCTCTCTAAGAAAGACTTGTCTGATTTATGTATACTCTGTTAAATATATTATTATTAAATGTTTGTAAATTAACCTGAGGTTTTAAAAATATTTCCATTGATTAGATGATATTATGTTAGTTTTTATATCATTTCTATATAGGGCAGTTTTTGTACATATATGTGTTAATGTGTTCTAGTTGTGAACTGGCTATATTCATTTTTTAACTTTATTTTTAATCAAGGGAAAATACATTGAGATAGTTTTTAAAAGCCATATAGCACCTCAAAGATTATAATGAAAAATAAGTTTCTTGGTAATAAATATGTATGGCAGAGGAAGACTATCTTTATAAAAGCTGAAATCTCAAAAGGGAAAAAAATCATCAAATTTAGTTGTATTAAATTTTCAATGTAAAGGGAGGGGGCAGGAGGTTAGCAGTGGACATCATTATCCAAAGTACATATATGAAGACATGAATTTGTGTGAACGTACTCTATATACAAACAGATATATGAAAAATTGTGTTCTATATGTGTAATAAGAACTGGGATGCATTCCGCTGTGGTGCATTTAAAAAATAAAAGCAATTAAAAAATTTTTTTCAATGCATTGAGTGAATCTTAACAAATGAGTGAATCTTAACATTGTGTACATCCACAAGACTGGGATCCTAATTAGAATAAACTGTATTCCACGTTTCTATAAATATATCAAAATAGATTCTACTGTCAGATATATATATATATATATATATATATCAAATAAAAAATTTTTCAGTTAAAGATTCCTTAAGTACAGTCAACAGACAATGATGACAACAACCAAGTAGATGTGGAAAACATTTGTAGCATAAAGTACATACTGAGGATTAATAGCTATATTATTCAGGGTTCTTATAAAGCAATAAGTAAACAGCTCATCAGAAAAAAAACAGATGGAGAAGATGAAAAAGAAATTCAAAAAACAAATTCCGCATGGCTTAGAAAACAAAAGTGTTTAAACTCCCCAGGAAAATTCAAATGAATAGGTTATGTCCATCAGACTAGGAAAAGAAAGCTTTGGATGTATTGTTTAGTGGAATTTTCTCATATATTGAATGAGAAAAGAGCATAATATGATGATTTTAATTCTTTTAACAAAAATATGTACAGAAGCCTATGGATGTATATATGCTAAGTGTGTGTATGTATGTATATGATTATATGAACTAGGAGAAAAATATTCAAAGTATTCATTAATAAGTTAACAGGCTTACCTGAGCAGAAGGCAGGAGAAGGGGGCCAAGAGGAAAAAAAGAGAAAAGGAAGATCATATAAATATAAAGAACAAAGCCATCTTTAAATGTTTTTGTCATAATATTGTCATATTATACAGTGTGGTATCACAGCAAATGTAACCTAATTAGAGAATATGTAGGCTCAGTCTCAGCCCCTCTGCTCTTTAGCCATATGACCTTAGTCAAAAGCTGAATCTCTCTGGGTATGTTTGTTGTTCTTTAAAATGGAGATAATAAAACCCACTACAGAATTGTAGTATGTATCAAATGAGAAAATACATAAGAAAGTTATTGGCATAATACCTGCCCTGTACTATGGCCTCATTAAATTTTGTTTCCCTCCCTGCCTTTAAAAATATTTAACTTTCATAATGTGATTATTAATTTCTAGATTATGTGTTGCAATCCAAGAAGCCAACCAGTTAAGAACAGAAAAAACACATCAGGAAAAACAAACCAGAGACCTTCAAGCAATGTGTAACAAATTAGAAAATGAGAAATATGAGGCTATTCTAAGAGCCAGAGATAGCATGCAACTCCTAGAAGAAGCTAATCTTCAAAAAAGTCAGGTAAGAAATCTCAAAAAAAAAAAGAAAAAGAAAAAGAGAGAGAGAAAAAACTCACAAACATGTTTATAAATAATAAAATGCCAAAAATTCCTCTGTGGCCTAATAGTAAATGAATCATCAGATGCAGCATAAGTGCAGGAGAATGACACTATTCTGTTCTCAGACATACTATATTTTTGAATGGTAAGACTTAATATCATGAAATATGGTAAAATGTCACTTCTTTTCCAAAGCTAATATTTAAATATCAGACTTCCCCGAGTAACTGATTTTCCTCTCCTATAGTCACACTTCTTAAAAACTCTTATAATGCTTTGCCTCTGTATACCCTATATTTTATTCAGTTGGATCAGATGAGTCTTATTCACCCTCTTTCCTCTTCAGCTCCTACACAATTATTCTAATAGAGCAAAAGTTTAATTGGCAGAGTTAATTTTAACTTTAAAGATTATTAACTAGATTCTTTTTGTCACTTTTCCTTTTTTAACCTTCTAAACATTGTGATTTCTGTGCCATCTTATACCATGTTTTTTTTTCCTTGTACCGTTTCTGTATGAATGGTAAAGATACTTTAATGGCACTGTCTTTTTATGTAGAGCTCATATTATCACTAGTTTATTTATCAACATTTATTGAATAGCTACTGTATGCAGAATGTTCTACTAGGAAATGTGAGGCATGTAAAGGAAATGCATTGGTTCATTTTTTACAAGATGGAGAATTTTCCAAGAAAGCTACTAAAAACAGAACAAGCTAAATACTAAAGTGCTTATCTTGCCTTTCAGGTAGTATTCCCCTGTGTGATCTGAGTTCTGTCTCTTAGACTACTTAAAATAAACACAATTAGGCTGGGGTTGTAGCTCAGTGTGGTACAGTACTTGCCTCGAGTGTCAGGGACCCAGGTTCAGTTCCCAGCACCACATACAGAGAAAGCACACAATAGACATAATATGTTTGAGTATTGTTTTAAGCATCCAAGTTATCTAGAAATATTGAGGACAGGACAAATTTGTTTACCTCTATCTTCTGAAACCTAATTGTATGAGCACTTTGAATTACCATCAGGTCACAAAAATGAAGATCTTGTGTAGGATACTATGGACAGAGGAGGTGTGTAGACACTCATTGCCTTTCCCCCAGGATCACAGAGGCTTCCTGTTGGTAGAGTGTCCACCACCCATGTGACTCCTTGCTTAACTGCTGGAGGATCCCATCTTCAGTTACTTGTTTGATGTTCAGAGTCACTAGCTCTCTAAACCCACTAAATCCGAAGTGTTTAATTCTGTGAATATTTTGACAAAATTGACACAGGTTCATTGAAACAGATTGGGTATCATAATCTAGAGCTTATATATCCTTTATTATCATTAAGAATAAAAACAAAGATTGCCCTCTAAATAGGACACTGGACAATGTAATATCTTTTACGTACATATAAACTGTCCTGTAATTAGGGCATTGGGCAAATGTGATATCCTTTCATATATTACACTACATACAATGAAGTGACTCTCATGACCTATTTATCAATTAGTTTTGGTGGAAAGGACAAAACTCTTCAAAGGCTTACATTACATATTTGACAGTATGTTGTCAGTTTCACATAAGATGACTTGTTGTCAATATTCTTAAGGCTGAGGCAAGGTGATCCGATCGCGACTTCAAAGCTAGGATCAGCAAAAGTGAAGCACTAAGCTACTCAGTGAGGCCCTGTCTCTAAATAAAATACAAAATAGGGCTGGAGATGTGGCTCAGTGGTTGAGTGTCCCTGAGTTAAATCCCTGGCACACACACACCCTGCCCCCCAAAAAGAGAATGATATGGCTTCTCACATCAAATCTTAATATCATTTTGGAGAGTAGTAGGTCTGAGAATATCACACTTTCTTCTTTGTGAAGGTTTCTCATTGCATCATTTTACGTAACTAAGCAAGTGTCTCTAAAAATCGAGCAAATTTATGAGAGCTTTCTTGTCTTTGTTCCCAGATTTGTGAGTAAACCATGCATTTATCAATTATCTGAATGAATAAAGGCCAAAATAATTTTGTACCTCTAATAGAAGTGAAATACTTGGCAACCAACTAATCATGTGTTTGGTCTCTTTGTCTTTCCTTGAGGCATATTGGCTCTGCTCTTAATTTTTTCAATCATCAAACTTTGGCAAGTGGTTCTACTATATTACAGTTCATTCCAGTAATGACACATTTGTTATGTAACCATTTTATACAATGAGAATTTCATCATTTGTATCACACAAACCTCTTGATTATTTTTTCATCAGTGTTGTTGGACTCATAGGACACTTGTTTAGTCTGTTTTTCCTCATAGTGCCAAAGTGTACCAAGAAATCATAGCCAGTGAATAGATCACTGGAGAAAAAAAAGAAAAAAGCAGAGTGATTATGGATTCTCTACCACTTTAGGCATTTATAGAACTACTTGATCCCAAAGCAAAAGGTCACCGTCAGGTGCTTCTGAAGTACTTTTTCCACAATATGAGTAAAAGTTATAGCAATATCTTACTAGTCCCCACAGTGCCCAGAATTTATAACCAAATCTTATGACCTTACCTCTTATGAATTGTTTTAGTGAATTGTGTCCATAATATCTGATAATTATGTCATCCATTGCCAAATGTTCTCCAAAGATAGCACAATGTCCACTTTCCTACAGCTTTCAGAATAAATGTCTTCTCTCATCTATTCTCTGGAGTATGAAAGCGTGGGTCACAGCTCATCAGCAAGTGTCCCTAGAAGCAGCACATCATCATGCCAGGCAGCAGTGCGGTGCCCTGCACATCACTGCACCACACACATGTCCCAGCGTCCTCCTCCTAGGACACCGATGATTTGAAATGCAGCATGTTCCTCAAAATAGAATGGCATCCCCTTTCTAGAGAATACTTTTGTGAATATATTTTATACTACTTATCAATTATGTAAATATTTTCTTCAGTTGGTCATTTAGCTAGAGTAACTTTTTTACAGTTTTTTATTGTTTCTTTTTAGTTTTACATGACAGCAGAATCCATTTTGATATAGTTATATCTTATTCTAGTTAGAGTCCCATTCTTACGGCTGTCCGTGGTGGTGGGATTCTCTGTGTTGTTTTCATGTATGTACATGGGAAAACTATGTCAGACTCAGTCCACTGTCCTTCTTTTGCTTACTGCCCCTTTCCCTCCACTCCCCAAAGTCTAATCTACTACACTTCTATTCTTTCTCTTACCACCACCCCTTCTTGAGGGTTATCTTCCACCTATCAGAGAAAACATTTGACCTTTAGTTTTTTGGGGATTGGCTTATTTCACTTAGCATGATAGTCTTCAGATTCAACCATTTGCTGGCAAATGTTATAAAGTCATTCTTCTTTGTGGCTTACTAATACTCCACTTTGTATATTTACCACATTTTCTTTATCCATTCATCTATTGAAGGGGACTTGGGTTAGTTCCATAGCTTAGCTAATTGAGTTGCTATAAACATTAATGTGGCTGCATCATTGTAGTATGCTGATTTTAACTCCTTTGGATATATACCAAGGAGTGGGATAACTGGGTCAAATGGTGATTCCATTCCAGGTTTTCTGAGGAATCTCCATACTGCTTTCCAGAGTGGTTAAACCAATTTGCAGTCCCACCAGCAATGTATGAATATACCTTTTTCCTCGCATCCTCACCACCACTTATTGTTACTTGTATTCTTGATTATTACCATTCTGACTGGAGTGAGATGGAAATCTCAGTGTAGTTTTAATTTGCATTTCTCTAATTGCTAGACATGTTGAACATTTCTTTCATATATTTATTGACCATTGGTATTTCTTCTGTGAAGTTTCTGTTCAATTCCTTTGCTCATTTATTGATTAGGTTATTTGGTTTTCTTTTGGTGTTTTTTGAGTTCTTTATATATGCCGGAGATTAAGCTCTATCTGAAGTGCAGGTAAAGATTTTTCTATCATTCTGTAGGCTTTCTCTTCATGCTCTTGATTATTTCCTTTGCCGTGAAGAAGATTTTTAGTTTGATGCCATCCTGCTTATTGATTATTGATTTTACTTCTTGCTCTGTAGTGTTCTTATTAAGGAAGTCAGTTTCTGTGCTGGTATGTTAGAGTGTTGGGCCTACCTTTTCTTTAAGTATTTGCAGGGTTTCTGTTCTATGACCTAGGTCCTTGATCCACTTTGAGCTGAATTTTGTACAGGGTGAGAGATAGGGGTTACTATAAAAGTTACTCTACTACATATGGAAAACTGGAATTCCATATGAAGTAGGGTAATTTTTATAGTAAAATTTATACCATTCTCACATTGAATTTAAAATATTTTCAAATACCCTTGTCAATCACCTATTACTTTTCTCAATAGATGTCTAAAAACCTACGATAATTATTTCAAAGTTACCATAGGTGCTGTATTTACTGCTCAATTTATGTTGTTTTGGGTGTTCTGCATCTGAGACACTGGGACAAGATGGGTTAACCAATCGTACAAACAAGTAGGCCGCAGAGCCTGGCATCGTTCCCCTTCTTCATCATCCCCTCTCCTTCTGGAGACTGTTAGTTCATGACAGCTATTATGTCTCACTAGCTTAGCTCATTACGCTGGAGGAAACCTGTTTGAAAATGTTGATGGTATATTTTGAAGATGGTCAAGTTAGAATACAGGGCCAGCACTTGCCTAGAGCAAGGTCCTGGATTCCATCCCTAGCACCAAAAAAAGAAAAAAGAAAGAAATAGAAGAAAAAGAAAACTTTAAAAAGAGATATTGATTGATTCAATCTGACCTAATTGGAGGAATTCCCAGCTCAGAAAGATGTTTGGGTTAGAGATGTAAATTCAGACTTTGTCAGAATATAAGTATTTAAAAATCAGAAGATTTTATTAGATCACCAAGGAAAGGACATAGAGAAAAGGAGCAAGAACTGCGCTTTGGGTGGTTCAGTATTACAAGATGCAGAAGAAGAAGGCTAGGCAGCATTTGAGACTGAGAAGACACATTAGTGAGGTGGAAGGAACACCCACAGTGGGGTGAACTGAAGGCAGTCCAGAAAGCAAAAGAAAAAGGAAACGATAAGTTATCTCAGTACCATCAAAAGGTAAGACCATGGTGACAAAAACTTGATTGGAGGGAGTGTAAAAAGAATGGAAGGAGATGAGTAGAGGAGTTTTACCCCATAGGAAAGAAATGGAGTGTGACTGACAAACAGAACTAGAATTTTAACAGTATTTTTAGTGGGTGATGGCAATGATTGGTAGGGATAAAAACACATCAGAGGTGGTACAGTGTGATCCAGGTATGAAGGACATGATTTGAGTAATATCAAATAATGTAAAGAAGGAGAAATCCAGAGATTTTTTTCAAGAATATGATACTAATGGATGATGACTTAATTTGTATAGGCACTTGAAAGAGAAGAAAAATTTTAAAATCTTTAAGATTTCTATCTGTAGAGATTGGATGGAAACACTGGCTGAAATAAATGTCAGAGTAAGTTTTTAATTAGGACAAGGATGTATGAGGTTTGGAAAAACGGATATCATTCATGACTCTGGCAACATCTTCAAATGGAAATGTCCCAGAAATTTAGGAGGTGATGTTATTATAAAGAGAGTGATTAGTAGGTTTTTAATAAATTCTCTTTGCTAATAATTATGTGATCTATAACATGAAATGATTATTTTTGTAGGCTCTGCTTGAAAAGAAGCAAAATGAAGAAGATAAAAAGAAAATGAGTGAAGCAGTTTCTCAGCTTATACAAAATACCTCTATAAGAACCAAGAAAGAAGTAAGGAGTTTTTAATTATATTTAAAATTCCAAATCTAAGTCCCAACTATAAAACTAAGTGTTACTTAGAGACTTCAAAATTGAAAAGTAAAATTCAGGAAGACTGCCTATGAAATTATTCGTATAAATGGTTAAAAACAACTGTTCCTTTTCTTTAATACTACTCCTAGAGGGACAGCCATTTTAGACTGGTTTTTAATAGCCTTGTCAGTTTAAAAAAAAATAAAGTTAGGGCTGGGGATATAGCTCAGTTAACAGAGTGCTTGCCTTGTATGCACAAGGCTGTGGGTCCAATCCCAGCACCACAAATAAATAAATAAATAAAAATAAAGTTAACTGATTTGCTTTCTCACAGACAAATAAGTGGTAAAGTTTGCATTCTTACAAAGCCACTCTATAATGTTTCTTGCCACGAAAGTATTTCTTAGGAATCTATTACAGTCCTGGGCCACATAACAACATTTTGGTCAACAACAGACTGTATATATGACAGTGGTTCCATAAGGTTATGATGAAAAATTCTTGTCACCTAGTAATTTCTTATTCTAGTAAGTTTTTATTCTTGTTGAAATATGTTTAGATATACAAATATCTACCATTGTGCCTACAGTGTCCAATACAGCAACATGCCGTTACAGGTCTAAGAGCAATAGCATAGGTGTGTATGTCAGCTGTACCTTCTAGGTTTGTGTTAAATATTGTCACAAAAACAAAATCACCTAACAATATACTTCTCAGAACAAACCCTGTTGTTAAGCAATTCATGACTGTCCTTTGTCACTGACTAAAACTAGATAGTATCCCAATATGAAAATTCCAGTTTGAGGCAGAATCCAAACTAATTCCTGGGCTTTTTATTTCTGATCTTCTGTGTCATTCCTACTAGAACCATGCTGTCTTTATGGGATTGAGATACTATAACTTTAGGCCAGAGCCTAACATTTTCTTGAAGACTTATTTTTAAAATAGATAATTAACAAGTTGTATGTATTTTATAGCAAAAGTATTTTATCAAAGTATTCTATCATGGTATTAACACTCGACTTGTATTTTCTAATCCTAAAATGAATTCACTTTGATTTTAAGGTTGGTGGAGGTTGTGTTTTGCATTAACCATTAGATAATCTCAGGGAATTTTTTCTAAGGTGATGTGATGGTGTTAATTCCAAATACCTTCACAAATATGAATACTAACTCTGCCTCCCATGCCTCCTGTTACTCCCCCATAAGGAACCCTACAGGCAGCAGAAGCTCATTGTCAGAACTGGACTCGCTCTCTTCCTCTCAGATCTTTCCTTTCTCCTGTGCTCTTGTTGATTTCCTTAATACCCAGCCCCTCACTACTGCTCTGGTCATTCACTCAGGAAGTCTTTATTGAGCACTTCCTATGTGCCAAGCATTTTCTGCGTCTCTTGACTCCTTTGCATTTCACACTACTGCCAATTTGGGTTGTTGGTGTTTGTTTTTTTTTTAATATATATAAACTTAAAAATTATTATTGAAAATAATACAGGTTCATGGTTAAAACAAATGGAAGATATATAACATTGTGTAAAAGAAAATTAAGATTGCAAACCCAGTATTCAGAAAATAATAATCACTATACGTAGAATTTTTCCTTTGAATTTTCATTTAATTAAAATTATGGCATATGTGGAACAAAAATATATACATTAAAATAAAAGGGACATCTTAGAGAGAGTAGAAGTAGGGAACCAAGGAAGAGGGAGGAGGGGAGGGAAAAGGGAAAGAACTGGGAAATGAAGTTAATGAAGTTATGGGAACATCCATGACTTAATTTCTTTTTGCCTCAATGTATTAATCAGCTTGCCAGTTCTAATTTATAAGGAGGAAAAGTTTCGGTTTGGCTGATGGTTTCAGAAATTCCAGTCCATGATCATTGGGCCCCATCACTTTTAGGACTATAGGGAGTCTGCAAATCACTGCAGGAGTGTATTGGAATAGCAAAAGCACTCACCTTCATGAAAATCCAAGGGAGATCAGTAGAGTAGAGGAAAGGTGTCAGGGGAGGGAGGAAGAAAGGGGGCAAGGGGACTTCTGGGGAATGATATTGACCAAATCCTATTGTTATATTGTGTGCATGTATGAATATGTACCGTGAATCTCATCACTATGTACAACAATAGTGCACCAAAGGAAAAAAAACCCACACACCGCATGGTTGGGAAGTGAATGGGAGGAATGAGAAGGGTCAGGGTCCTGGTTTCCCCTTTTAGGGCCTGTCTCCAGTGACCTGAAGGCCTCCACCAGGCCCCACCTCTTAAAGGTTCCGACATCTCCCAGCAGTGCCTTACTGGGACCAGACCTCTGCCTGTGGCCTGGGAGACATTCTAGATCCAAACCAAGTGCTCAGTCTTCCTAACCTGATTGGAGATAATAACAATTTCATATGCCTAACGTATATAATCCTTAAAAGGCTCAACTCTTATTACTGACCCATGAACAACATAGATTGATCTTTAATGTCCTAACCCTTAATTTTATAAGGGAAGTCAACATTAATTATGACCTAAAATATGGCCACATATAATGTTGACAGATCTTCAAAAATATAGTTCATATTAATAAACCAGATAAAGTACATGGCATTTTTCTAAATGTTCCAAAGAAAGTTTTCATTATGTTTTAAAAATAGTTCATTTAGTACAATTCTAGAAAATTCCCAAAGACTTTTGGATCATGGAAGTTTTCTTGACAGTATACGATTGGCATCAGTGTTCTTCACACTCCTTTTAAAAAGCATGAATATCTATTAGAAAAAATTATTGTCATAGGAACCATCCTGACAAGGTGTGACTAATTCCTCAGAATACTCCGAGCACATAAATTGTACTGTTTCTGAAGATATTTCTGTGTTAATTTAAATGCATATTTCCTTAAAAAGTAATTTGCTTGCTCTAAGATGTGATCTTATGTGCAGCTAAAATGTTCTTCCATTTGTGAAATACAAGTTCCTTAAAGTTTATTTGTTGCATTTGCAGTGTGTGATGCTGTTTTTCTCTTACCCTGCTCTGGGCACCAGCTCCCAAAGTGTTGCTCAGAGATCCTGCAACCACACCTACTTTCAGAGTGACATTGCCACACTGTTACTCTTTTCACGCCCATTTTATCACAAGCCAGTAGCATGGTTTTCCAAAGGCTGTCTGATCTGCAACAACACAACAGGTTGAATACAGAAACAGATCAGAGAATCTAGCTGACTTCTATTCCGCAAGACATTAAGGAGATTCACAAAGATGTAAAATAACGCCACTCTTCTCAAAAATGTTTAGTTTTAGTGAATATACTTATTTTTCACAAAAATATATTATTTATACTAATTGATATGATTTAAATTATTGTTTTAAAGGAATTAATAATTAAGTTTCATAAAATGTTTCCAGCTTTTATTTCTAATAATAGTAAAATATTGATAAAGAAACCATATAAACAAGAGCCACTCTCCTTTTAGATGGATCATCCTGTTCCTTTTATTCTTATGACAGATTCTTGGCTCTTAAATACATTGTGTGTTTATTCATCTTTTATGCCCTAAAAGTCATAATTTTACTTTTTATACAAAGTGTTATCCCAAGGAGTGGGATATAGCTCAGTTGTAGATCATTTCCCATCTCCAGTACTAAAAAACATTTATTATCCTAAATTTGTATCAGATATTAATCATTTTTACTCTTTACCTAAATAATTTGTAGTGTCTTAATTTACAGGTTGAAAATACAAAAAAGCAATATCATGTACAGATTTCTCGATTAACGGAAGAACTTTCAGCCCTTCAAATGGTATGTGAGAAGACTATATTGATAATTTCTTTGAAAAATTGCTTAAAAGCCACTATAGATGGTATTGGACATTCATTCATTCAAAATATATTTACTGAGCCATGACCTATGCTAGGTGTTAAGGACAAAGTGAAAATCCAGAAAGACATGTTTTCTGCAGTCTTGTGCCTTGGTCTAGCAGGAAAGATAGATGGCATTCAGCACATGTACTTGGTAATCACTTGCCTTTGACAGAACACACAGTGCCATTGAGCACCCAGCTGCAGCTGCTCCCACGTGTTGGCTTCATCTGGGAGGCCAGGCAGAAAGGGAGAGGGAGGAAAGACCCCAGGAAGCTCCCGAAGAAAGGAGTACTGAAGAGCAAGTAGGCGAAGGGGAAGAGGAAGAGAGAGCTTGTGTGGTGGAGATTGCATTAGAGATATTAATTTAACTTGAAAATTTGAGGAGATGAATTTTTTGTTGTTAAACATTTTTCAGTTGTAGATGGACACAATACCTTCATTTATTTATCTTTATGTGATGCTGAGGATCGAACCCAGTGCCTCACCCATGCTAGGTGAGTGCTATACCACTGAGCCACAACCCCAGCCTCGAGGAGATGAAATTTTAAAGTTTTGCTTGTAGGAGAATAAAAATAAAGGCAATTCCAGGAAATGGAAAGAATTTACATCTTCACAAACTCTTTTAACTTTTCTGAATCCCTGTTATCACTTTTCATCTGTTACAAGACAGAGCAGTGAGCTATCTTTTAATAAAGATGCTGCACTTTTGTGTGTCAGCACACACCCACACACAAACTGGTGCTCTCTCCATGAAATCTTATTCCTTCAATTAGATTGGAAGCACCTTGGTGTAGAAAGTCTTTTGTCTTCCTTCATTTCCCCCGTTGCCTCCTATGGTGTTTTTACACAGTATATTTTGAAATAAATATTTATTAACTGAATGACGTTTAAATACATCTGAAAGAGGAATCAGGTCTTTCCCACTTTCTACAAACACTGTAGTGTATATTATGTACAGGTCCTGAATGTATAGAATCAGAAACAGTGTTACTTTTTATTTATTTTTTAAATATCACTTGTTTTGGTGATATAGGAACATTGTATAAAATTAATGGGATGCAATATGGCTAATTAGTCATGTGCCATTCACTGTTACACAGTTTTACCTCACCCTGTTATCTTGCTTATTCTATTCCATGGGCTGATTAGCTATTAGAAGACTCTCTTCTCTATAGAAGAGGAGGAATAACAGTGCCTTTACCCCGGTCTAGAATTATTCAGTGGACTGTCCACTCTGCAAGAGCAAGAAAATTAGTTCTGTTTTCCCAAAGGAATGAGGACTAGTAAGGATTTTTAAAATAATTATTATCTGTGTAACAACAAAAGTTATATTAAACTCACTCTAAAGTTTAAAAAATTGATAACTTCAGTTTATTACTAAACATGTTTCTAATGCTTATGGTGCTACAATTCTTCCTCTTAGCTAAGTTATTTTTCTAAACATCAAACATAATCTGATGTCACGTTGATTCTGTGTATAAAAAAACTGTACTGTTTAAAGTGTTTGAACATTAAATATGTTATAAAATGTGTTCAAATGAAGACATTTTCATTTACTTTTAAAAAGTATATATTCCCAGAAAAATCTAGGCTGTAGTCTCAGGCATAACAACCCTGTTTTCTGTTATTAAAAAGCTGTTGTATGGGGCTGGGGTTGTGGCTCAGTGATAGAGTGCTCGCCTACCAAGCATGAGGCACTGGGTTTGATCTTAAGCACCACATAAAAATAAAATAAAGATATTGTGTCCATCTATAACTAAAAAATAAATTATTTTTTTTAAAAAAGCAATTGTATGTAACCATCTTTACCAAAACAGTTAAGTCTGAGAGTAAGTTTAACATATTTTGACTAGCCCAAAATTAAGTTATGCTTGCAGGAAGAAAAAAACTTATATATTTAGGTTAGCATGCACCTTTTTAAAATAGGTTAAGAAAAAGCTAAAGGTAGTGCACTCCAAGCTACTGTTCTCTTTAGAGACCAACACCCACCCCCCAGCTTTTAGCTTCTACTGCAAGACAGAGTTTCTTTTAAGAACACTCAAGATTTTAATTCTGCTATGAATCTCTTGCAAATGAGGAAGAGGATCAGTTATAAATGCATACATATATAGGAGTGAAATGAAGCATTCATTATGATCTTTTCTTAGATCTTGAATTTTTTTTTGAAAACCTATTTTTTAGTTTCTAAATACACAGAAATTTAGACTGTCTTTTTATTGTTGATTTCTAATTTGGTTACACAAGGGACACAGATCACGGTGTAAATGATATTCATCTTAAAATTTGATGAGGCTTCCTTTATGCTGGGATATGATTTCAGAAATACTCCATGAGTGCTTGAAAAATAGCTGTTTTCATTTTGTCTTGTTTTCCCCAAACATAGGTTTATCAGGGGTGATTAGCTAATAACTCTAAAAACCTTTTAATAATTAATTTTTAATGTTTGTGTTAGTATTGTAGTGTGTTTTTAATAGAATTAATATGAAAATTTTCTATAAAGGCTTCAACTATTTTGTCTCATTTTACCTTTGTTACACTGGGTTAATCAAATATTCTTTTAGTTAATATCACCTGTCAATATGATATGGTGAATTTCATGGCCATGTATATGTAACATACCTATAACATGCTGGTCTTTCTACCCACATGCCAGGCCCAAAAGTTTAATCTGACTTTGTTATTAACATACATATTGAAAGTCACATGGGAAAAGTTATAAAATAGAAGAAATACCATATTCAGCACCACGAAACTACCTTTTTTTAAAATATTTATTCTTAAGTTTTAGGTGGACACAGTATCTTTTTAAAAAAAAAAAAAGAGAGAATTTTTTAATATTTATTTTTCAGTTTTTGGTGGACACAACGTCTTTATTTTATTTTTATGTGGTGCTGAGGATCGAACCCAGCGCCTTGTGCATGCTAGGAGAGCACTCTACTACGGAGCCACAACCCCAGCCCCTACCTTTTTTTAATATTTATTTTTTTTAGTTGTAGTTGGACACAATACCATTACTTTATTTATTTTTATGTGGTACTAGGGATCGAACCCAGGGCTTTGCATGTGCTAGGCAGACAGTCTACCGCTGAGCGACAACCCCAGCCCCCAAAATTACCTTTTAATAGACGAACAACTTCCAGTATACAGGAGCATAAATGAAATATTAAAGGTGCAGTTGGTCTACACTGAATATACTATCTTAATAAAAGATACTAAACTTAAATTTTTCATCTGATTTGTAACATCAGGTAAAGGTCTTCATTATAACCAAAGTGATTAATTTGGGGTCACATTTAAAATAATTAAAAATAATTAAATATCTTTAGCAGAATACTGTCAGAAAAGCAGACTCCTCTGAAGCATGATTCACAATAATAAAAAGCTATTTATATTCATCCTCCAAAACACATTAACGTATAAAATAAATAATTGTGAAGAAAACCAGTAATTAGAATGATTATTGTTTTATTAGCAAAATATGAAAGTTTATTGATTAATTGATATGCTTTCTAAGTTTACTGATTAAAATCTTTTGAGCATAAAATTTTTGAGCAAAAGTGTTTTATGTTCCTGCTAATAAAACGTATTTAGTATTCCCATGGTTGTTTGTAAGTTTTGCAAAGAGAAATTAACTGTTTTAGAATTTGCTCACCTGCCACCTTTTGAGCCTGAGGATATCCCCCAGGATATTATACTACTATCAATGTTCCCTTTCCAAAATGTTTAATAAGAGTACATAAAAGAATCTGTACCGTGAGAAAGGGACCCTGATTATTTTTTCCTCCCCATCACCCAACCTATGTCCCACCTAGTCGGTTGAAGTACAATTCTTTGGCGGTCTATAACTAGAGGTCACTTCTGAAATCCTAGGATAAGTAGCTCTTGAAAATTAAGTTTTGGGTTGTTTCTAGTCACTATGACCTTACTTTGTTGTTAACGTAAGTATGATATTTCTGTTATGAGCAAGTCATTTTACTTTTTCAATCCCTCCTATTTTCCTTAAGGTTTCACCAAACATATTTATTTACACTATAACTTGAATTTATAGGAGTGTGATGAAAAACAAAGCCAAATTGAACGAGCCATTAGGGAAAAAAAAGCTGTGGAAGAAGAACTAGAAAAGGTAAAAAGAAAAAGGAAATATACCTACCTAAAACACAACTACAAATATCCAACAATTTTGTCTGCTTTCATCACATTATCTACTAGCAACCCTTGTATTTATAAGTATTCTCCTGGTGAGTGTTTTTATTTTCTTGGAATATACTCAGAGTCTTCATTTAAATTCTGGTATTGCCTGCATACATTTCTTTCCAAGAACAATCATATTCTTTGACCATAAAACTCTTTGCTTAACTGTATCCCAATAGGAAGTTTCATTTTTTAATTTTATGTCAACTCTCTCTGGGGTTAGACCATCTACAAAAATAACAAAATAATTAACTAGAAAATTATAACATTGCTATGATTTTTGCCTTTAAAATTATAATAATTAGGAAAAATATTGACCTCAATTAAATTTGAGAAAAACTTTAAAATTTCTTTCTTTCTTACACTTTTTTCTTTTTTGTACTGAGGATTGAACCCAGGGGTGCTCAACCACTGAGCCACATCCCCAGCCCTTTTTTTTATATTTTGCTTAGAGACAGGGTCTCACTGAGTTGCAAAGTTTCTCGCCAAGTTGCAAAGGCTGACTTTGAGCTCGCAATCCTTCTGCCTCAGCCTCCCGAGTTGCTAGGATTACAGGCATGTGCCATATAGCTTACCTCTTTACACTTTTTTATTAGCAACAAATATCACATTTTTTTAAAGTGCCTTGGGAAAAGAAAAGACCAAATTTGAACATACAATATTTTAGATGCTGTATTAGGAACTGTCCTAGAGTAGTAAATAACTTGTCCAATATTAAGAAATAGTAAATGATAGTAAGCATTTGACTTTCAAAGATGAGCTACATAGACAAAAAATCATGTGATATATCCATGTTCTCAAAAATCATGACACCAGATAGTAAAATAATAATTTATAAAACAGAACTTGGTATACAGCCTGATTTTCAAGAAAAGAAATGTATACGTGTGTTCAAAGTGAGACCTTCCTGGTTACCACGCTCCTGGAAGGTAGATCCTTGTGAGTCTCCATCTGTCAGGTTGGGTCCTCTTTAGCTTGCCACCTGCTGCTGTACATTGGGGTTTGAGGAATTCTTGAACACTACTTGGGTTGGATCAAGGAATAGGCTCCACTGGGGAAATGGAGCACCTTCAAGGCTGAAGACAGCAGGCAGAGCAAAGGCACACTCCCTGCTCTCTCCCTGTCCCACAGGCCAGCCTGCCTGGTCACAGTCCTGCTGAGACTGAAGTGCAGTTGTGCTAGCAACACCATGCAGATATGCTGGTGCTCTGCCTTTTCATAGTGCAGGTGTGACAGCAGTCTAGTCAGTGGAGAAGACACAGGTTGTGTGGCCAGGTGGTCTGGATCTGGGGGGGTAGCTGGGTGGGACTTATCAAAATAGAGAATATTACCATCTGAAGACCTTGCTTCCCTTGGGGTGTGTCAGCCCCTGTGCTGTAAGTGCAAGTCCAGAGTCTCATGAGAAGCTAAGCTGGGGTTCAGCCACTGCTGGGGAAGGGGAACTCCCATAGCTACATCATTGTCCAGATAAGCCAGAGGGAGATTCTGGAGCCAGATAGTTCTACTCATTGCAGTATTTGAATTTTGGTAAATTGTCTCAAAGGTTGTTTATCAAAGAATTGCCAGTGGTTATCTCTAAGTTGACATTTATAGTATGTTTTGTTTTGTTTTTAGCTTTGGCTGCTTTACATTTCATATTATTAGCATGAGTAATTTTTTAAAAATAAGTGATTATATCTCAGTTTTCAGCAATTTATTTTGTAAATGTGAAGCAATTAGAATTAATCTTTGATGTGTTTTAATACATTATAGTGGAAACAGATGAATACATGATTGTGACTTTTTGTCATCATTGATTTCAGTATCTAAACTGTATAATTTATTAAGAGGGTTTCCTTCTATAAGGAAGTACACATATAAGCCTCTTCTGCAGATTTACCGTGAAGGCAGAGGGAATGAAAGTGACTACAGAAAACTGGAAGAAATGCACCAAAGATATCTGATTGCAGAGAGCTCAAAAGACGATCTTCAGCTAAGACTTAAGAAAGCAGAAAGTAGAATAAAACAACTTGAAATTAAGTAAGTTTTCTTTTGGGTTTTCTGTGATGACATCTTCAGAATTCCCATGATTTTTGAGATTCCTGGGTGTGTGTGTGTGTGTGAGAGAGAGAGAGAGAGAGAGGACTCATACATCTTGTGTTGAAAGGACCAAATACAGTTTTTTTCAAGACTATTTAAAAAAACTAGTTTCTTCAGAAGGAAAAGATTTAACAGTGGCATACCATTTTATTTTTTTCATACTATGTAATTATTGTAATAGTTTGTTTGTAATTATCTTTAGTATGTTTCTTGTGATATTGCATATTATTTAATGAACCATCATGTTTATTACATTATCTATAAAAGTGATAAACCTATAAAATGCCATATCCCTTCTGAATTTACTTTTTTTCACCAGAATGTTACTTAAGTATAGTAAAGATTTATTTAAATTACCTGAAACTCTAATCTCTATATATATTCAAAAGATATTTTTTAAATGAAGACAATTTTATTTCTTAAAATACATACACTAATACCTGAAGTGTTTTTTCAAAAGGAGATTCTGCATATTTGTTTCATAAACATATTGTGATTTTCAGTAATCTAGATAATTGCTTGTGTGATTACTTCCAAAGGAAGCATGCAGAAGGAGCCAGTATATTCCTAGAAATTCTTGTATGTACTAAGAAAGGTTTCTCTCAATACCATGTGTTCGTTCATAGGAGTCCCTCCACTGCACATCCCTTCACATCCTGCATTTGTTTTAATTCACAGTGTCTCTCTATTTATGTGTTTTTCTGAGTAAAAAGAGAAGTCACTGAAGTCTTCTTCATGTTCCTTATATTCACATTTTTTCTTCAGGGTGAATTCACATGTGTTTTCTACAGGACACAGTCACAGAAAACTACTTCCTCATTTCTTTCATTCATAATGTTTGTGTGAATTTTCATATGTTCCTCAACTATCCAGGGAAAACTGAAGGCTATCCTACTTTCCTTACATTTGTGAGGTTTCTTTTTAGTTGTATGTTCACATTTTTCTTCAGGAATGAAAAGAAAGTAAATATTTTTCCACATTTCATACATTTGTAAGATTTTATTCCACTGTAAATTCCTCATGAATTTTGAGATATAAGGAAAAATCTAAGACTTTTCCACATTGTTCACACATTAATGTAGTTTCTCTTGGGGCTTTTATTTACTTCCTAAAGAAGATTAACAATTTAAGGTTATTTCACTTCTTAACAGAGTTTTACTCCAGCATGGGTTCCCACTTCTTTCCTAAAGGTTGAGTAACAACTAAGGGTGGTCCATATTTCCTACTCACAAGGATATCTGTATGTGTGTGTGTGTGTGTGTGTATTTGTGTATATATGTGTGTGTACACACGTACATATCCTTGTTTGTATGTATATATCGACATATATTGCTTCCCTCTACCGTGAGTTCATTCATGTTTGTTAAGGTGTGTAAGATATATAGTCTTTCCTATGTTCTTGACTTGCATGGGAATTTTTTCTAATGTAAACATAAGACAATGGAAAATTTTAAAGACTTACCCACATTTATTACATCATATGCTTTTCCCCCATGTGAGTTCTTACATATTCAGTGAAAGATTAGTACTATCTAAAGGCTTTCCTATTTTCCTTACTTCCATATGAGTTCTCTCCACTATAAAGTCTTATAGGTTACATAAGGTATAAGATGTTTGAAGTCTTTCCCACAACCCTCAATTGTAGAAGTCTCTCCCAGTATGCATTTGAATATATTGAATAAGGTGTGAAGATTAGATGAAATGCTTTCCCATGTTCCTTACATGCAAAAAGCTTCTCTCCATTTATAGGCTTCTTGAGTTCTTTTGCTTCATTAAGGAAATGGGAGTTGCTAAAGACTTCCAAACACCCTGTACAAGTGGTATACTTCTTTCTGGGATTAATTGTTCCATGTTTGTTAGGACATGAGAAAGTAGCAAAGACTACCCCACATTCCCTACACACAAAGGACTTTTCTCCAATGTAAATTTTTACATGCGCTTGGAGGTGCACGAGATAAAAGTTTTCGTACAGTCACTTCGTTCAAAGGTTTTCTCTTAATTGTGAATTTTCCTGTCCACTTCTGGTTTCAGGAATGCTAGGACTGCTTTTTCTTAGTCTTCATTTGTCTCTAGGTTTCCCTTCTTCTTCAATTTTTTTCACCAAATAATTTGATTAAAAAACAGTTCTTTGTACTGTAAAGTTTCCTCTACTCAAGACATATATGTGCTGTCATTCACTTGGTTTTTCTGTTCCATTGTGGACTTTTTGACTTTTGACAGAGGGCACAGAAACGTGTGGTTGTTTCTGATCTTAGCATTTTTCTGATATTAGCATTCTTTTATTATCATTGCTTGGATACCTCCTTTCATTAGCAACTCTGTCAACCAACCTTTAAACAGAAGAAGAAGAGCAGCATGTTTAGTGGAATCAAAGATTTAATATAGAAATCAGAGCATACAAGAATGTGGGAGGAACTGGGGAAGCAAAGATACAGCAGGGAGGCAGTAAAGGTCAGAAAATAAGTAACCGTGTCTGCCTCAACTTAAGCCATTACAATATAAATATAGAAGTGATATTGTTTGATATTGATAGGTGTTTACTCTGATACCTATTGACCAGGAATGTTCGGAGTGGTGATTATCTGGGATGGAAAAGATGAAAATTTTAGAAAATAGGAATAAAAATTAGAAGTGTATTTATTGAAGTACATGTTGAACCATACATGTTGAGAGTTTATCTCACCTAATAATCCATGACTGAGAAAGTTCAAGAAACATAACCTGATACCTATGGTAAAACAAGTTTACACAACTAGAATTTGTAAAACCATTTCTAAGACATGAAACATGAAAATAGATTTTATCATAATCTCATAGTGTAGTCAACTGTTATGTTTTCCCGTGGAGTTTACTGATGAAGCAAAGTTTTGATTATGATTATGTTATTTATTGTCTTCAGTTTGTTCCTTGAAAAGTCCTTATAAAATGATTCTCAGTGTTAGTAAAAAGTTGAAATAAGTTTCACATCGATTTTCCAGATGAGTGGTAACAGTCGTTTGTCTGTTCTTAGTTAAGATTGTTAAATATATTTGCCTTCATTGTTAAATGTATTACATAGCATTTTGAAACCACATAAATATAAAGTAAAAAAATGGCTCTGAATAAAGGAAACAGAAGTCTGTACTAGAAAAGGTGGGTAGACATTTTGATTTCTGCTATTGGTCATTAAGAGTTAAGAGTTCTTTTTGCCTTTTTTAAAAATCAGCTCCTCAGAAGAGATATCACGTTCCCATGAAATGATTCAGAAACTTCAAAATATATTGGAGTCTGAGAGGGAGAATTGCGGCTTCGTCAGTGAACAAAGGCTGAAACTTCAGCAAGAAAATGAAGAGTTACTGAAGGAGACTGAGAATTTAAGAAAGATTGCTCTAGAGGCTGAAAAAAAAGCCAAATTAAAGGTATTTTAAAGACTACTTAGAATTAAATGTGTTATTGGGAAAATCAAAGTATAGAGAATATTGAGAAAAACCAAGTAAAACATCATTTTTAAGCCCCCCCCCTTTTTTTTACTTCTGATCAGATAGCACTAAATCATAATTCAGAGTGTCAACCAGTCATTGCAGTATTATAGAACTTGGCAAGCACACTTGAGAATGATTGCCTCCGCTATCTACACACACACACACAATTCTTTTCCAACCGTGAAATACACTGATATTCTTGCCAAAGCAATTTAAGCAACACTAGCAAAACTATAGATTAGATAACTTTACAGAATGCCCTCCTTCCTTCTCCCTCTCTTATAGCCTCTCAAGAACTGAACTTTTCTAAAACTAACTGTAAGAGGATGTTATATCAGTGTGCTCTGAGAAAACCACTCAGTGAGTCCCAAAACTCCACGACAGGAAGAAGGCAAGGAGCAAAAGTCTCATCTTGAAAAAATAAAATAAAAACAACAACAACAAAAAGCCTTTCTTTTGTTTTCTCTCCCCTTTACTTTCTGCTGACACACTTTGGTAACAGGAGCATGATAACCTGGTTAAAGGGAGTTTCCAGAAACAAAGTCAGAATCCCCGTTGGAATCTCACTGACCTTTCTCCATTCCACAAACTCTTGCAAAAAGTGGCACTGACTCTTTATTTTAAAGCTCTACCTCTTACAGTTTTATAGTAAGGATATAACGTGATAAATTAGTGTTTTTATTTGTTGTTGCTGAAAGAACCCATAAGAAGTCATGTTCCAGCCTAATTAGTATCAACATATATTTAATGCCTCCTATTGTAAATATTAAGAACACTATATATTTATAACAACATGGACTATGAAAAGACGGTCTTATATATCATACAAAGAAGTTTGTACTTTATGCTTTAGGCTGTGGGAAGTCTTTGAAAATCAAGGAGAGGAACCATACTTGAGATAAAACTACAGAAATTAAGATAGTGTTATTGACATCAGAATAAAGTTTGAAAAAAATCAAACTGATCAATGGCATAAAATAGGGTACAAAATCAAACTCAGATTTAAGAATCACCAGGTTTAAAACATAAAACCATGGAATTCTAGGAGAAAATCTTCATTCCTTGCGTAGGAAGATATTTCTGAAATAGAACACAAATAGCACTAATGTAATGAAATGACAAATTAATTGTATTTCATAATTAAGATTTTTAGTCATCAAAGATACCATTAAGAGAGTGAAAGTGGAAAATAGTCCTTCAAATGCATACAAAACATACAAATAACTTACATTGCTTCATTGTAAGGGAAAGAAAGATAAATATTAGCAGAGGAAAGTGAGTAGGAATATAGAAAACACAAAGTTGACTATGAGCTTAATAGATGTGGTTATAGAAGCTGGATGATGGACGTACAGGAATTCACTGTAATCCACTTTACGTGTGCTGAAAGTTCCCATACTAAACATTTTCCATAATTTAAAAAAAATAAAAGGTCACCATACTTTGATGAAACCAAAATAGGTAGAGATAATTCTATTTATGGAGGAGGAGGGCTCTCAGCTCCTTTGCAGCTGATTATTTCTTTGACAACATAGAAATCTAGTGCTACTCTTTGCTTCTTTGTTTCCCTTTGGAAGAGAGTATGGTATTTAGTGGATACACTGAAAGTAGCTGACGGGGTAAAGACAGGGAGATATTGGGAGGTCAGTTAGATGAAAACCTTAACAATTTATTATGACATTTTCATTTGATTTTAGAGCCACTGCATTCCTTTCAGCTCCAACTCTCCCCTTTTCCAGTTCTTCCCTTTTTTCTGTAAAGGTTCTCAGTTTCTTTGTGGTCTGAATATCCCTCATAAGTATCTAAAATTAAGAAATGGAATAGTTTTTAGCAAACCTATTATCGGTTTGCATGGTATTTATCTGCAGAAGTAAGTGTAGTAAAGGTAGAAGACCATTAAATCCCTTTTTCCAACCCAACATTCTGAACTTAGTAAAAAATAAAATTTTTGCAGAAAGAGATTCAGTTGTGGCCATTGGCCTTTCAACATCACGCAGACCTCCCACTTGAGCAGTTGGAATTGCTCTGATTAAAGGCTCTGGGGTTTGTTTTAAGACTGAAGTTTGACACCAAAGAGTCATCTTTCATTTAATTTGCAAATGTTTTTTGACAACTTATGTTCCAGGTGCTAAAGATACAATGGTAAACAAAGCAAATATTGTACCCATCCTTAAGCTTATAATCTGCATGGAGATGGGCACACTTTAAACATAAAATTACAAATTACCAGCCCCTCTTTCTTTCCCAGCGTAGGGCCCTGTGTTTTCCTTATAACAAAAGTAGGTGGAAGGGAATGATTATTCCAGGCAAAGGGAACAAGATGTGAGAAAGACCCAGAGTGAGAACACATTGTGGTAGAGGCAGGGGAAGGGAATAGTGGCTACACACAAGCTTGGAAACATAGGCAGAGGCCAGGTTATCAGACGGACCTTAGAGCAAGGCTTGTTGCACTATAGAACTTCCAAGGGACAAGAGGAAGTCGGCTAAGCAGGCGAAGTCCTATTGCTGCATGTAGATGCATAAATCAGTTTTTAATACGTGTGGTAGGCAGACACTGACAGAAACTGGGAGGTTTTTTTTTCCAAGTAAGATGTTAGAATCATAAGGAACCAAAAGAAGTGGAGATTAAGGCAGAGAAGGAAAGAAAAGTGTGTTCAAATCTAAATTTGCAGAATCCAGTCATTTAGAAGTTATTAAGACAGCAGTAGGTGTCGAGGAGCCTCAGGAATACTGCGTGGCAGGGACAGGACGCCAATTGATAAGTGCAAGGTGGTTTTCCAGTGTCCAAACTGATATGATCTTAAATTCTACTTGTATACTACTTGAGAAAACATATTTAAGAGTTACAGAAAGTATGTTACATTTATCAGAGGTGCTAAGGATAGGAAGTTTGAAGCTTTCCCACATGAGCCTTGGGTATTTTTGTTGTTTGGTTTTTCTTTGTTGTTTTTGAATCGGTAAAGTTGAGTTGTTCATTGTATCTTCAGTTTGAAAATAGTTCTATTAAATGAATTACTAGAAGCCAAGCCATCTGTGGCCACTTTTAAATACATTACCTTAAAATATCACAAGACAGGTTTCTTTGCCCTATTTCTTCAAGATAAAAATGGCCTGAGACTCCACCAAAGGAGTCGGGTCACCTCCCAGCTTTTCCCCACCTTGGTCTTTCTTTTGAACCACAGAATATAAGAACTATCCCAGTAACCACTTTCTCAGCTGCCTCGAGGACAGGACACATAGTTGCATTGTAGGTGCAGATGAGAAAAGGCAGTTCATCGTATAGGATGCCTTGAAGCCATTAGAACTTACCTCTCTCTGAACCTCTTGAAGAAGCTTCCAGGGTATCCAAAGGGCACTTACTTGTATTTTCATTCTGTGTTAGGATGTTTTTACTATAATAACATAAATTCACAGAATATAATTAAGGGGCTGGGTTGTGGTTCAGTGGTCAAGCACTTGCCTACCATATGTGAAGCAATGGGTTCGATTCTCAGCACTGCATATAAATAAATGAATCAAATAAAGATCCAACAATTTATAAAAAAATTAAATATATATATATATATATATATATATATATATTTAAGACATTTTCACATGAGATTCTGAAGACCATTATTTATGTTTTCTTTTAAAAATACATTATTTATACTACAACTGAAATGGTAAAGGAATTCCAGTATATGCTTTTCTTCTACTTTACAAAGCTCTTTGAAAGATAATCTTAAAATCAATATATAAATCCAGAATTGTTTCATTAAAAACCTAGCTCTCAGTTACTAAAAGCATGAACATTTTCTATGAATTCTGGCATCAAAAGTAAGAGTAAGTTAAAGAAAATGGTTTTAGGATACATAATATACTTTTTTCCTACTGACATTTTTAGGATTTGAAGAAAAGTTACTGTGTTCACTTTATTCCTTAGATCAGTACAATGGAACATGAGTTGTTAATAAAGGAACATGGTTTTGAAGTTCAGTTGAGAGAAATGGAAGACAGTAATCGAAATTCCACTATTGAACTGAGGCATCTCTTAGCTACTCAACAGAAGGCAGCTGATCGGTGGAAAGAAGAAACAAAAAAACTTACTGAAAGTGCAGAAATTAGAATCAGCAATCTAAAGTAAGTTCTCTATTAATAATTGACACATTTTACAGAAGAAATTATTTAAAACTATAGTTTAATGTTCTTGACAATCTTTTTATAAAAATGTATAATTCTGGACCTTATACTCATTTCTTAATCAGCAAATTACTTATTGAACTACTAAAAATATTAAGCATTATAAATTAAAATAGTTATATTTTTGTAAATTTCATGTATATTTTACAAAATACAATGATTTTGGTTGGTCATGGTAGTTTAGGATCTTACTGCTATTTGCATATAGGTGTAGCATTTATGATATTCAGTAGTTGCAACAGAATCCATTTGACCTACAAAGCCTAAAATGCTTGCTCTCTGGCGCTTCAAGAAAAATTTTCCAGCCCTTTTTCAGAAAGAACTTGAGATTTCTGTGCTGAAAGAAATGGGAAGCTCAAGAACTTTGAGTGGGAATGCAATTGGAAGGCTTTGATTGAAGTGATGTAATCTGGCACAATTATGTTCAACAGCTGAATTTGCTGTATGAAGAATCAACTTCAGTTAACCTGAAATTGCTCTGAAAAGAAAGTACATTTTAAGAAAACAAAGAATGTAAAGGGACCAGGGTAGAAGAAGGGAGAATGAGACCCACACTATAATAGTCCAAGTATAAAATGATGGCAATTAGTACTAGGCTTTAAAGAGCTGGAGATTAAAAAAAAAAAAGTTTACTCTGGGCCATGATAAGTAAGAGCTGCTGAGAAGACTAGTCAGTTGTATTTAACTTTAGTATTCAGAAAAGAGATTGCAACAGGAGCTATAAATGTGTGGGAATCATGTATATATACATGATTTCTAAAGTCATGGAATGAGAACATGTTGGAAAAAAGTAATAGGTAGAGAAATGAAATTGTTGAGGACTAGTTTCCAAAACTTAAATTTTAGGGAGATGAATGTTCCACTGAAAGAGACTGAAAAAAAAAAGTATCCAGAAAAATAAGAGTCAAAACAAAATAGAAAAGAAAAGAAAGAAACTAACTCTGCAAAGTCTTTTCAGAAATGGAATAAGCAATAATGGGTTGGTATTTATCAAATATTGTTTTCAAAATCCTAGAAACTAGGAATAGAATTTTACAAAGGTACATGTTCTATAGCAAAGTTATTCTTAATGACAAAAAAACATTAATAACATTTCTTTTAAGATTAAGAAAAAGACAAGTTCACTAATAGCACTTCTGTTCATCTTTGTCTTAGAAACCAAATCAGTACATGGCAGTAAGAAAAAGAAATGAAGGGGCTGGGGTTGGAGCTCAGTGATACAGCACTTGCCTGGCACGTATGGGGCACTAGGTTCAATCCCCAGTACCACATAAAAATAAAAGTTATTGTGTTCATCCACAACTAAAAAAATATTTTTAAAAAAGACAAAGAAATGAAAGGTTGACAAGGGCAAAAAGAAATCAGGCATCCTTAGCATATAATAGAGTTGTATATATAGAAATTACAAAATAATTGGTAGACAAATCATTAGGTGAATATACAAACCCCAAAGATCTCTGTAGATCAGACTCTTCTGATTACTGCTCCAGCTCTACTGTCCCTTCTAGTTACCATGCCCCCATCATTTTCAGTGACGACTCTGGGTAGCTCTTGCCATTAAGAATCTTAGCATTTCCATTGAATTCTGGAAGCCCAATTCCATGACAGCAGTTCCCACTGTCATTTCTGTGCCACAAAGAATAACTGCCACAGAGCTCTGCAGGGATACTGAGTCACAGACTTGGTGAAGGGAATGTCCTCTGGATTCTCCTAAGGGACAGAATTGAAGGATGGATGAGCTGGTTTTACATTTAAGAACCCACTTAATCTTACGGTTTCCCCCAAGTCTTTGCTAACTTCTTTTATTCCAAATAGAGACAATGTTGCCTTCCCCTTCCCCTTCCCCTGAATATTTCTCTCAACATTATCTGAACACATTCTAGGATTGCTACATATTCAAGGCAGAGATGGTGCTAAACATCCTACAGTGCATAGGACAGCCTCCTGCAACAAAGACTTTTGCCACCCCAAATATCAGACATGCCAAGAGGAGGGATTCTGTTCTACGATATAATAAAGGAAATTCTGATGTTTTAGCATCATCTACCTTTGAGTTCAGATTTTATTCAACCAACTAGACTAACCAGTACACTGAAGCTAACACATTAAATCTAGAAAATTGATATTCAATGTGAGCCCACATTGTTATGGACTAATCAAAATTTCATTTCTTGCACTGTAATCCAGCCCTGAGAATCCATTCTCATACCCATTCTCCAGATTTCTGTCTACACAAAATTGAAAGAATCAAGTAATTATTCTGTTAAATTCTGTCTCCTAACAGGTCATGTCTTATCCCTCATTCTCTTATATCAAAGTGGACTCCTGTCTGGTTACAAGTTTAGAAACAATGAGAGTCACCTTTTGTGTGCAAAGCAATTCCCTGACTTTACAAACTTCACAAAAAGCAGACTTACCTTCCCAAACAGGGTGGAAGTGCTGCTGCCCCTGCCAAAGGAGGCATGACAGAATGCAGAGATCCAAGGTCCGAGCTTCACAGGAGCTCTATACGAGCCCCATCCCATTTTCAATGGAAGGGATACCTTGCAAGCTTGGGAATTTGGTTTTGTATTGTATATAATTCAGCTACCCACATGATTAGACTTTGGGTCTTATTATTGAAAATCTCAGCTTTGTAGGCAGAGATGAAGATTTCTTTTAGGGTAATTAATTGAGCTTAGAAGTTAAAACTGAGCTCTTTCTTTTCATTCTCAAAGTTCTGCAATGCACTTAGCCTCATCCTACCCCTTATTCACTTAGGTGTTCTATATGTGTGAGCAACTACTAGTTTACCCAGAACCTTATCCTCTGTAGGCACATGATTATAGTGATAATTTAAATAATAGTTTAATAAAGTCCAGTTTATTTTCTACAATTCCAAAATCCAAAATTCTTATAAAATGTATGTTTATTATTAATTATCATTGTTAATCTCTTACTGTGCCTAATTTATAAATTATAAATTAAACTTACTTAGTATACATAGACTTACTATCCTTTATCAAAATGCTTGGGTCCAGAAATGTGTTTCTAATTTTTAATTTTTTTGGATTTTGGAATGTTTACCCAGATTTTACCAGTCAAGCATCCCTAATCTAAAAAATTCAAAACTCTCCAAACTCTGAAACTGCATCATATCAGTTTCATGTTCCACCTGTATATTTAGGGATCAGTATTAATCTGAGGTTTTAGGCAACTACTGGGGGTTTTGGAACATACTCTTTATGGGTTAAAGAGGAATCTATTTTCTTTTTTCCCTACTTGTCTTTTTAAAATTAATTTTAATTGAAAAATATGTACATATTCATTGTATACAACATGTGTTGAAGTTTGTATACATTATGGAATTGCTCAGGCTAGCTGATTTATGTATGCATTATTTCACATGTTTATGATTTTTTATGGTGAGAACACTTAAAATTTACTCTCTTAGGGAGTTTCAAAGAAAGTACAGTGCATTGATGCAAACTGTCATCACATTGTTGCAATATAGATCTCTTGAACTTATTTCTCCTATTTAACTGAAACCTGTGTCCTATGAACAATGTCTCCAACTCCTCACCCCCACCCATTTCCTGATAACCAACACTCTCTTCCCTACTTCTGTGAGTTCAATTTTTTTATATTCCACATATAAGTGAGCTCATGTGTTATTTGTCTTTCTGTGCCTGGCTTATTTCACTTAGCATAATGTCTTCCAGGTTCATTCATTTTGTCACAAGATAAGATTCCTTCTATTTTAAGGCTAACAGTGTTCAGTGTGTATATATCCCACTATTTCTTTATCTACTCATCCAGTGATCGACACTGGGTTAATTCCATGTCTTGAGTATTGTGAATAATGTTGCAATGAACATGGGGGTGCAGATGTCTCTTTGATATACTGATTTCATTTCCATTGGTTTTATACCCAGTTGCTGGATCGTCTAGTAGTTCTATTTTTTATATTTTGGGGAACCTCCATACTGTTTTCCATAATGACTGTGCTAATTTGCCTTCTTACCAACAGCAGTACACAGGTGCTTTTCTTCCACATCCTGGCCAGCTCTCATTATCTTTCATCCCCTTGAAAATAGCCGTGCTGCCAGGTGTGAGGTAATATCTCATTTTAAGATAATATCTCACTGATTTGCATTTTCCTCACAATTAGTGATGTTGAGTGTTTTTTCATGTACCTGTTAGCCATTTATATGTGTTCTTTTGAGAAATGTCTATTCAGGTCATTTGTCCATTTTTTAACCAGGTTATTTATTTTCTTGCCATTGAATTGAGTTCCTTGTTTATTTTGAATGTGAACTCCATGTCGAGATACATGGTTTACAATATTTTCCCCCATTCCATGCGTTGTCTCTTGACCCTGTCGATTGAGTCCTTTTGGGGGCAGGTTGAATACCACATTTGTCTTTCTACTTTTTGTTGCCTCTGCTTTGGTTCTTTGTTTAGCTTTCTGTCTCTGTAACAAAATACCTGAGAAAATCAACTTAAAATGAGCAAAGGAATATTTGGGCTCTGGTTTCAGAGGTTTCAGTCTGTGGTCACTTGGCCACCTTTCTGTGGGCTTGTGACAGCACAGTATATCATGGCAGAAGCATGTGACATAGGAGACTGTTCATCTCATGGTAGCTGGGAACCAAAGTAGGGGCAGGGGCTGGGATCCCAATGCCCAATGTCCCCCTCAAGGGCACACCTTCAATAACGTAACTTCCAACAACTGTGCCTCAACTCCTAAACGTTTCCACTACCTCCCAATAGTGTCGCAAGCTGAAGACCAAACCTTCCAACACACGAGACTTTGGTGGGCACTCTAGGTCCAAACCATAAAATGGTCATAGCCAAACACTCTTAGTCTAGGCCATTGAATGGTGTACAACTTTTCTCCTGTGTTTTCTTTTAGTAGTTTTGAAATTTAAGTCTTTAACCTATTTTTAGTTTATTTCTGT